TCCGCTGCATTTCAGCGTCATAGATTCTCCGACATCTCTCGTAAGCAAGTCGATTTCGCTTGAGGAATGGCTTTTCATATCTTTCTTTTCTCTTCACGTCGGAAAAGAATTCTTCTCTTTTTAAAATTCCGTCCAGTAATCTGTAGACAGGTTCGATTTTGTTATCTCTAACAAGAACGGTCTTGGCCAAAAAGCGAACATGATTCGCTGTCATCGTGAATGTCTCTGCTACTAACTACACAACATGGTCAGGACAATCGACTTTCACTTGGTACACTCGTAGGTGGTGCACAAAGATAACGCTTGACAGTATGAACCAAGGTGGGAAATCTTGACATGTTTATTTTCCACCAGTCCCCCAACGGGTGTAAGGTAACCACTATTCGTATTCGGCCCGACCGCAACTATTCGGCCGAATACCGAATAGTTATTAGGTCCACTATTCGGCCCCGAAGCGAATACGAAGCGAAAATTCCATACAGCCCTAATATATATATATATATATATATATATATATATATATATATATATATATATATATATATATATATATATATATATATATACACACACACATACACACACACACCCGTTATCTTGAATTTCTTGTACGCCTGGCTCCAGAATCTGTTGTGTCCAAACAGTTTTCAGTCTAAATTGAATGGTCTGTTTTTTTTCTGGGATAAGGTTGATTGGGGCTTCCCAGTTGTTGTCATGTAGGCTTACTATTTCCGTTTCCATAATGTGGAAGTTTCTTTGGAAGCTGCTGAGATGTGGTTTCATAGACGAATGACGAGAATAACCTGAACACCATTCTATCGGACCACGTTAGCGCAGTCGATAAGAGACTCGCTTTCGCCCTGCCTCTAGGAAATGGGTGCAAGAGTAACACTCTGGGGTAAGTAAGGGAACTTCGCTGTAGCTACCGAATTAGGTGCGAACAGCGACACAGGCGGACAGTTTCTTATCAGCTGTCCGTACTGGTGGCAGAGCACTTATGGTTTATAACTGTGTGCAATGACGTTGGTTCACATCTCCCGACTTTACCTTTACCTTTTTAACATGAACAGATAAAAAGACTAATGAGGATGTCTTGAAAGAAAGTGACTTACAATTGCCCACATCAGAAAGAAACAATCTGCATTCTTTTGTCATATAATGAGAAGAAGAAAACTGGAATACATCGTGACAGTAGGAAAGTTGGAAGGAGTCGAGGCAAAGGAAGGGCGAGAGAAAAGATGCTGGACAGTTTGACGTCATGGCATGGGGGAATCATCTGTGACAGAGCTGACTGAAAGTATACGAGACAAAGTTGTGGATAGCCATGACTACCAACGCCACACGGCATGGATGATCATCTGTGTCATAGTTGACTGAAAGTATATGAGACAAAGTTGTGGATAGACATGACTATCAAAGCCACACGGCATGGACTTGAAGAAGAATGTGGCAGTGGCCTGGGATCCAAAGGAGCAGTCTGCTTGGTAAGCTGATCCCTTTGATTCTAAGCATGTTGAGCTGAAGTTGCTTATTCTTGTGTTATGTTTGCACTACAGAGCAAGCACCAAGTAGGATGACTAGTAGCATTTTTGAGCGCCTTTGGTTTCTCTGTGAATGTCACAGAAACATATAGAATGTACCCAGTTCCCATTGTTTGAGACTTGTTGGGTTCTTGTACCGAAAAAAGTAGTGAGCATACATTGGATCTTTTCTCCAGGCCATGCCGTTGTTGTGGGTAATGAACAGACAGATTTGCTGGATCCGTACCACTAGGTGGTGAATTGATACATGACAAGGCAGACGTGGTCAAGGCCCTTTGGGCACAAGCAACGAAATCAGTAGAGAAACAAGATTATTATGGCCTGGAGAGAATGAGGCACCTGGGTGTAACCAGAGGGTTTGGTCGGCTCACTACACTCAGAGGAAAGGCAAGACGGAAAAATAACCAGATTGTGACCGGTACCATTAGTATTGGAACTCTGCGCTGGCTGCTGAAGATAATGACGGAGCATGCATGGGAATGTCCCTAGTGCTGTGATGTCAGTTCTTGACTCAACTCAACTTGTACCGAAGAAAAGATTAGAATTCTTTTTTTCTGCCAGCGATTGATTTCTGACTGCCATCTTGCTCAGCGAGAACTATAGCAGCTGTTACGACACCACGATTCCTTTTGAATAAAAAGCAAAGTTTAAAAGAAGATGGCTTGGCGTAACAAGAGTTTTACAGCTGTGGAACCGTACTAGACAGAGATCGATACTGATGACCTTGCAACGTCGAGGAACAAAAAGAGACCGGGGTCCTGTTCACGTTTCGAGGCCCATCTACACACTTTCTCAGTCTGATCTGGGTCAGAAGGGCGTCACGTTGTACTGATTTCTTCGAAAATAGTCTCTCTTGGAAAATAAGCTAAGGCTGTGGGTTTGGGGGGTGGGGGTTAAGGCCAGTTCTAGATGTGTGCAAGGTACATGGGGAGCAAACAGAATTTGCTAGCTATAGAGATCTACACAATTATTTATTGCAGTTATATACAGTTAAATTGCTGTTGTAATGGTCATAATCGGTGTTGTGAAGACGGACAGGGGTCGGTATCTAAGGACGCCATAGGCGCATCGGTAACAAATGCTATAGTGCGTTTCAATAATCGTGCGCTAACACTTTAAACTGGCATCTAAAAAAAAAATGTCGGGGGATTTGAACCAGCGTCATTGCACACAGTTATAAACCACGCGTTCTGTCGCCGTTTGCACGTTACTCTGTAGCTACAGCGACGTTCCTCCATTTACCCCAGAGTGTTAACTCTGGTACCCATTTCCTAGAGGTTGTGTGAACTCTGGGAACCACCTGGTTTCGAAAAACGACCGTGGGCTGCAGCGAGTCACAGCTGGATTTGAAAGCGAGTCTTATATCGACTGCGCTTTTTCTTCTTCTTTTTCGTTCACCGCCTGTAAATTCAGGCGAAAGGTCCCAGTAGTTCGTCCATTTTGACTTTTTTGTTCACCTAGACCTGAGTTTTGTGTGTACCTCCGTTTTACTGGATTATTTGTTTGCCGCTCCCTGCCTTACCGGCAAATGTACCCCGACTTCGAGGGAGTCGATTGCGCTAACATGGCCCGTATCTCAAAAACTCCCTTAAGCATAAACAGGAATTGTTGCATGTGGCCAGGTTTTTTATTTTATCCTATTTGCTGTAAAAAAAAAAAACAACAACACAGACACCAATTCAAGACAATCACCATGCTTACTGTAACTTGAATAATCTGTGTAGAAAGGAGACCTTCTCAAGACAGCAATCGTGTCATGAGCGCTTCACTCTTCAGGTAGTCATCCACAGCTTAAGCTTCCAGTGAGTTGTGGATGTGTCATTGTATGCGGGATAGGCTACCAAAATAATCACCAGGCATCGCTGCATATATGAACTGATGTCAAAACATCAATGCGTGTGTCAGTTACTGCATACTTTTATTTTTTAGGGTACACAAATTATTAGTCAGTTCAAAGAAATTCACCGCTATAAGAAAACAACACCACCTGTGCAATTGTAGATTATACAGTCATAAGACCATGGAAAATCTAAGGCAACGTGTACAAGTTCGTATTTATCCGCATTGGAGTTGTCGAGGTTTGTGTTCAGGTCTGACGGTAGGACTTCTGAAACTTGAATATTGATAATTGTTTTAGGGTAAGGTTAGTTGCGTATCCTCTACAGGACGTTGCAGAACCAAACCCAACTGCTGGCTGTTGTGTGGTTTTCTAGGCAAATATACGTCCAGTAGTTTGTCATTGCTTTCTGGACAGTCGGCTTTCTTGATACCACTGTCGAAACCAACGCAAGGCGCCTGGCCCGCAGCTGGGATCGAACCCGGCATCCCGACATTACGGAGCTTTCGCATCGACGTAGCCACAGAGCCGACTGTTTAAGGATAGCGGAACGAAATCAGCGCACTATTTGATACCGTATGGTTCGGCTATTCAAAAGCATTTGACTGTGTGCAACATCAGAAGCTTTGGGAAATCATGAGGAATATGGGCTTTCCATCACATATAGTGCAGCTCATTAAAATGCTCTATCAAGACCAACAAGCAGCAGTCAGAATAGATGGAGAGACATCAGACTGGTTTGGCATCAAGCAAGGAGTCCGTCAGGGATGTGTGCTGTCACCGTATTTGTTCAACCTGTACGCCGAAAATATAATGAGAAATGTAAGAGATGATATAAACAAGGAACAATATGATGCCCTAAACATCGGTGGTCATGAAATACCAGAAATTCGTTATGCTGATGATACAGTATTACTATCAACATCACAAAATGGTTTAGAAAACTTATTAACCTCACTCCAAAGAAATAGTGAAAATCATAACTTATTTCTTAACACAGCAAAAACAAAGATAATGCATACAAAAACAAAACTGCCATGGAGAAGGAAATATATGTTAATGAAAGAAAGATTGGAAGTGGTGGAAAATTTCGAATATCTTGGGTCACTGGTTACCAACAATGGTGACACAATGAAAGAAATTAAACGGCGACTATCAATTGCTCTTCAAAGACTAAAACAACTGAATAAATTCTATGGAATTGTACAGATAGAATTACAAAGGTCAGATTTTTAAGAGCATGCATCTTTCCCATTGCAACATACGCCTGTGAGACCTGGACACTTACTAAACAAGCGGAACAGCGCATAAATGCATTTGAATATAAATGTTACAGACAGGTTCTAAGAATATCTTGGGTAAGAAAAGAACAAATGCATCCATACTTCAAGAGCTGAATATTGAAGAGGGTTGGCTAGTAAAGACAATAAAACAAAGAAAATTGAAATATTTTGGTCACTTGAAACGTCATGGAGGTCTAGAGAGAACAATAATGGAGGGGTATATGCCTGGGAAGAGAGGAAGAGGAAGGCCAAGGAGAAGATGGGTGCAGGATGTGGCAGATGATCTCCAGATGGGTGTATCAGACGCAGGACATCTTGCTCATGATAGGAAGGTTTTCCGGAGGGTTGTTATGGCAGCGAGGTTCCGCGAGGGACATGCTACTGAATGAATGAATGAATGGTTCGGCTACTCTCCCCAGACCGTGTGGCCGTCTTCCCAGAGGTTCAGGCAAGGTCGTGTAGGTTCCGGAGACCCATTGCTCTGTTGTCTTAACGCATGGGGCTGCCGGAGACCCATTGCTGTGTTGTCTTAACGCATGGGGCTGCCGGAGAC